GCACAAAGAGACTTTAAAGTGATTCTACTGTAAAAACATGAAGAGGTAGAAACAGAGGCTGCAGCCTGACTGTTCATCAGTTTGTTACCTGTTGAAGTTAAGCAGTGACTGGCTTCACTGCAAATGATGGCTCACTTTATCACAGTGCTGGGCTAGGGCCAGCATTCATTCAGCTTTATCATCACTCTGGGTTCTTGGCTAGCCTAGCGTTAGCATGCTAAGTACAGATGCTTGCGAAGAGAGGGAAGCAAGAGTACTATATGTGTCACATTTGTCTTCTTTTTTTTTTACATGAACCATAGCAGGGGTACCAAACATGAGGCTTAGGGTCTAGAATTGCCCCGGCAAAGACTCCTATCCACTCCAGTCCCACTGCATGGTTATGGAAAATGTAAAGGAGGACATACATTTATTTGGTAAAAAAAAAAGTTGCTGTGAATTAACAAAAATGTTCTGTTTTCTAATTAATAAGCAGCTTTCACTGCTAATTACAAGCCTGTCTGGACAATAAGCTACTGAAACTTTTTCTGCAATTTTACACAATTGGTTTAAGGCCCAAAGAGTCATGCCTGACATGCCTGAAGGAGAGAGAGAGAGAAACATGGGCAACATAACAAAAACTGTTTCTTTTTTTTATTGAAAGATAAGTCCTTTCTTGCCTTTTTCCTTTAGACCCTGATATGCTTACCTAAAGTGTACTCCAAAGGTCAGTTGTTAAAACGGCTCCTTTGAAACATACAGCAATAAATCAGAGAGACTTGACTCTCTGATTTATCCTAAAGAACAATTTCAAGGTATTACACTGTATAAGCAATAGTAACTTGATTTCAAAATAAACCTGCGCATTTCTTGCAGCAGTGAGTTATTGTGCTTTGAAGATCATCACTGGGAGTAACTAGGATGGACAAAGTTAGACAGGATTATTGAAGAGGAAGAATTCAGGTTGTGTGTTTTTTGGGATAAAATTAGAGAAGCAAGACTGAGATGGTTTAGATACCTGCAGAGGAGGGATAGTGGATATATTGGACAAAGGATATTTAATATGGAGCTGCCAGGCAGGAGGAAAAGAGAAAGATGATATTAAAGATTCATTGATGTAGTGAAAGAGGACATGCTGCTACTGACATCCTCTTGGTCCTTTTACACCAGCCCTAATCGAGCCCCACTTGTTCCAGCCACCTCTCATGTGGAGATCGGATCATCTTTTAACTCCTGATCTCCATGATCTATATTTACAAAGACATCAGTATATAACTCTCCCAAGCTAATTTAGCATATTAAAGAAAGAATTAACTAAGAAAATAATTAATCTAAGCACTCGGGGCAGTGACCCCCAAACTAGGCGCGTAGCTCGAGCAGATGATCTGATCTGAAACATAGGTGTTAAAAATGTGCAAAAAAATGAAGCCATCAAGAATGGGGCAAACAGTTTCTAATGACACGAAGACTCCTGCACGCCTTTTGGGCCATGTTTTGAGGATGTAGAAATCCATGTTGTGAAGTGAGATTTGGGCCGGTCATAGGTCTTTTCTTCCACGTTCGGGGGACTTCCCTTGGTTGCAGTCTTTTTTCAGATCTACCCACATCTTAATGTGTTTACATTTTCTACATTTTTTACCTAAAGCACATTTAGACTAGCTTTGTCAGACAACCCAAGAAAGACTGATGAGCTGACGAGTGCCTGATGCTGTGCAGTGACACAAGCCAACGCAACCACTACCCTCGAGTTTTTCATCAATTGTCCCGCTGAGCCAACATTCAGCCAGGAGAGAAACAATCTGCACGCAGTGGAGATGAGTGTCCTAACAGATGGGATCAGATCAGGCCAGAAAGCAGTAGGATTGGTCTGAAGTCATCATTTTAGCATTTATACTTCAGAATTTGCTTTTGAGGTGATATCTGTCTTCCTAGAAGATTTGTTTTATTTCTAAAGGTTTGGGTCATTTCTAAGCTTTAGTTACAGTAACTGGACAAACTATAGCTGCAACTATAGCTGAACTTTAAAAAACACCCAACCAATAACATGATCACAGATTGTGGAAACAAGCCTTAATGAGAACTACGAGTACAGTTATTTCATTCATTGTCTGCTGAGGTCACCCCTTACAGTTAGAGCCACTTCGTGCTTCAGCATGGATGTGTCAGGTGTCATTTAGTTTGAACTATTGTCCTAGATTGAAGGAACTTCATGAACTAAAAGAAATGACAGGATACTATACTAACTGGATACTATAGCTCCTCTGAAAAGAAAGCCTCAAATCAGAAGTATTTGACTTTTTGCACCTTAAAACAGATAACTGGTGTCCTTGAGAAGAAATGGCGCCTAACTAATTTAGAAGATCATCATTATTGTTGCACTTAGTATAGAGGAAAAAATAGTTCCTCTATTTAAAAAAAAGCCCTCTGTGATGCTATATAAAGAAATAAGAACAAGTTTTTATTCAGCACGATAGCCATGGTTTTTTATAGCTCTGTTGAGCCAAGGATTCCTTCAGTAATTACTTCCTCTTTTAGACCCCATTCCTACAAGACTGCTCAAAGAAGTCCTGCCATTAATTAATGCTTCAATCTAAAATATGATCATTCTATCTCTATTGATAGGCTACGTAACATGGGAGTTTCAGTCAGGTTTCAGAGCTCATCACAGCACAGAAACAGCTTTAGTGAAGGTTACAAATGATCTTCTTATGGCCTCTGAAAGTGGACTCATTGGCGTTTGTTACTTTTGACTATTTTATTACAGCAATTAGAGCACGCTGTAGATATTAAACATATTGTGCTGTTTTGGTTTGAATCTATCTGTCTATCTAACAGACTCCAATTTGTTCATGTAAATGGAGAGTCCTCTTCACACACTCAGGCTAATTTTGGAGTTCAACAGGGCTTCGTGCTAGGGCCAGTTCTGTTTGCATTATACATGCTTCCCTTAAGCAGTGTCATTAAAAGCCACAGCATAAATTTTCACTGCTATGCAGATGACACCAATCTTTATTTATCCATGAAGCCACATAACAGATACATATATTTACACCACAGGAATGTCTTAAAGTCAGAAACACTTGGATGGCCTCTAATTTTCTGCGTCTGAATTGAGATAATCCTTAAAAGTCTTAGAAATATGGTATCTAACCAGATGCTTAATCTGCATGGCATTACCTTGGCCTCCAGTAACACTGTGAGGAACCTTGTAGTTGTTTTGGACCAGGATATATCCTTCAAAGTGTATATTAAAAAATGATGACAGATGACCACAACTCTGTGAGCCTGGTTCTGCTGGAGGTTTCTTCCTGTTAAAAGGGAGTTTTTCCTTCCCACTGTCACCAAAAACCTGTTCATAGGGGTCATCTGACTTTTCTCTGTTTTCTCTGTGTATTGTAGGGTCTTTATCCTACAATATAAAGTACCTTGAGGCAACTGTTGTGAGTTGGTGCTTTATAAATAAAATTGAATTGAATAGCTTGCTTCATGACCACTTTTCCTGACTGCTGATAGTGCATCGCAAAAACAGAAACACACACTGGGTATGTTGTACTCATGTCATAGTATACGTCCCTAAATGTGGGTGTTTTTACACAAAGTGTCATTGCTTAGACAAAGTCCCACCCTTGCAGCTCAGATGTTAGTCAGGCAGTTGGGTGTAGCTCCTCATAAAGCTTGCATTTGTTGTGTAACACAGTGATCCTGGTGTGACATCTAGCATTTGGCCTCAGTGGCCACAGCAGTAGCTTCTGAAGGGAAAATCAAATCAATGCTTCATTGACTCTGTCAGAAAGTGATGGAAACCTAATTAAAGGCCCTACAGGCAAAGCTGGTCATTTTATGCAGGCAAGCAGTAGGGCTCTAAAATCAAGCTAGTAATATGCACTATTACTGCGATCTGTGTTCTATGGGAGGGAATCTGTAAGCACAAACATGTATGAGAGACAGTTAAAAGTTAATTGTCAGGGAAAGTATAGAAACCTTTCAATTTCATTTTTTGCTGTGGGGTTTTCAAAAAGCTGCAGAATGTTTGTTTGCTACAACTTTTCAAATGTCCACATAACTGACTAAAGAATTCCTCACAACATGAAACAAATATGCGATATATGAGAATGTTTCTGCAGCAGCTCAAGTCAGGAGACTGCAAAGACACTGTACCTGTCCATTTTGCAGAGACCCTTCAGTCACAAGATAATAAATCAAATAAGAATGTGAGTCATTTACTCAAAAAAGTCAGCTGGTACAACATACCTTAGCCCTTGTTGGAGATGTAAAGCACCTCTGCAGTTGCTTCACTACAGACACTGAAGCTGGGCATCCCCATTTTTATATTGTGTATGTAATTGTGTTTTTCATAATCACTATGTGTAACACGACATACTAGTCCTATTGCACACTGCATTGACAATGTGAGATCAGTGTTTTAATATCATCGTGACATGAATGCAAAAACATGTGCTCACTGACTGGATCTGTGGGAAATCGTTCAATAGTTAAAATATCATCTAAGCTAAATGTTAAAGTATTAAATAGAATACACTGTCAAAATATGAGTGTCAGTGTGTTTTTGGCCAAAGTCATGAATATTCTTTCATTATCTTCATGTGAGAGTTTACAATAAGCCTGTATGCACTTTGTTGGATTGAATTTACACAGCAGGGTTTGTAATGTATCTAATCACATGCATAAGACAACTCCTAAAGTATAAGTTGTTTACACTGAGGCAGGTAGGACATAAGCCATAAAACCACAGTCTCTACATTAGATGAGTGAACGTTAAGATGTCCATGCTGGCTCAGTTATCTTTATGTTGAGTATACCAGAAGCAGGCCCTGTGCGAAAGACCAGCCATAAACATAAACATAAACTCTCTCCACATGGAAGAATTATATTGAATGCACTGTTTGGAGTTGGAACTGTTGGCGTGGGAGAAAGGAGTAGGGTGGGGGCAATGTCCCGTCGAGAGGCAATCAATGCTTACATCCTGTGAACTCTGCATGTAACACGGGAAAGCACTCACAACAAACAAGCAGCCAGAAAACGCACAGCCATATAGAACCAAAGAGAGAGGAGAGTTCTGGGATGTGGACTGGAGTTTTGGATGGGCACAAAAGAACCTCTAGATAGCTCAATGGGGTAGCCGTACAGACCCATTTGGTTCCCAGGATAAACATAAACACAATGAAGTGCATCAAGAGGCCAAGAGGGAAGCCATACCAGTGACATGTAAGTGCTTCTGAAATGGTTGATGCGTTGAAACGAAAAGATCTGTTATGTCATCCTCTCCAATGAGGCCCTGAATGACTCGCGTAAGCTAGCGACCAAATTAGTCTTCCCATATGGAAAATAAAGAAAGAAATTTTAGTAAATGTTTATGTTTAATATATGTATTGTGTGTGTTGTAAGACCTATATTCTTTATACTGTGATTTACATTAAAATGTCACCTATTTGATTTTCTCAGGCTACATAATTATAAGAACAGGGATAACATAACAGAAATTTAAAAAACTATTATTGGATTGAATGGGAAACATTTTTTCACTCATTGTATGTACTAAAAGTTTTGCATTTTGTTGTGGTTATTGTAAAGCAACAGAACATTTTTCCAACTGAATTTATGACTTTGTAAATAATAACACAAGAGCATTTAGTTCGTGTTTCTACAGACACTAACATCCAGTGTATAGTATGCATTTCTATTGCCAGTCCCTTTTTTTTCAGGCCTTGAAGCAAACCAGGTATGGTTTAAAGAATAAAATAATTGGCTCAAAGTCATCTTGCTTTCAAACAGCCCTAGACTCTTGTGTGAATTTCTATGAGGATAATGATAATGTTAGTGGAAATGGACTGCATTTATATAGAACTTTTCAAGTCTCACCAACCATTTAAAGTGCAACATGCAACATTAAACAATATATTCATACACACACACATATATATAACCATATATTCAACTTTTGTCTACCTTTCAATTTAGAATCCCATTTGACCTAACATACATATCTTTGGATTGTGGTAGGAAGCTGGAACACCCAGAAGAAAACTGCGCAAGCTAGTCATGGGTCTCCTCACATTCCTTATTTTTTTATGCTTATTTACGTTAACTATAAAGCTGCTGTGTTATAAAACAGCAAAGTCCCACTCTATCTTCTCTTAGCTCTTCACCCCACATTTGATGCAGTTTTGTTACCGTTTCTTTTTAGTTTATTGCTGAATTTGTACACAAACAGGTCAAAATGATATCAGCTGGGTTCATAGGCTGGAATCTTGGTTGTGCGTTGTCCTGCATATAAGGGCATTGATGTGCATGCTCTGCAGGGCAAAATCTGTGCAGAAAAGTGTGCAGGCCATTGTTTGTTTGCAACCATTCTGTCTTCTTGTGTTTTTTGTATTTTTGGCGCTATTTTAACGATTATCAGAAAATACAGTAATCACATTGGTATCTATAGAATTGTCATAAATAGTAGAATCTGTTGATACAATGAACAATATTTAAAAGTTAATTTAAAAGTTAATATTTAAAAGTTAACTGTGCATGGTTCTAGCCAACATGCACAGCGGCATGGTGATTAGCACTGTTTCCTCACAGCATGAAGGTCCTGAGTTCAATTCTGCCATCAGGCCCGCGTCTTTCTGTGTGGAGTTTGCATTGGGTACTCCAACTTCCTCCCACAGTCCAAAGACATGTAGTTAGTGGGGATAGATTTACTGTAAACTTGGATTTGCGGTAGAGAATGGATGGATATTAAAATGTATTGTGTTTTGTGTGATAATGGGTTGTATTTGCATGCTGTATCTCCACAGTTTGAGTATGTGACAGTGACATGGTGAGAAGCTGACCATGGGTGACTGGAACCTGCTGGGCAGCATCCTAGAAGAGGTCCATATACATTCCACCATTGTGGGAAAGATCTGGCTTACTATACTCTTCATCTTTCGCATGCTTATTCTGGGAGCAGCTGCTGAGGATGTATGGGATGATGAGCAGTCAGAGTTTGTCTGCAATACTGACCAACCAGGCTGTAAGGCAGTCTGCTACGATCGTGCTTTCCCCATTTCCCTAATTCGCTTCTGGGTCTTGCAAGTGATTTTTGTGTCTGCGCCTTCACTCGTCTACATGGGCCATGCTCTTTACTGCATTCGTTCATTGGAGAAGGAACGTCACCGACGACGGGCCCAGCTAAAGGAGGAGCTTGATGAGGCTGAGTTGGCGTTGGATGAACAAAAGCGGGTGGAAAGAGAGCTGAGGAGATTGGACGAGCAGAAGAAGGTGAAGAAGGCACCTCTGAGAGGCTCTCTATTGAGAACATACATCATCCATATCCTTACACGCTCCGTGGTGGAGATCTGCTTCATCCTGGGCCAGTATATACTATATGGTGTCCAGCTGGAGCCTCTCTATAAGTGTGAGAGACTGCCTTGCCCCAACAGCGTAGACTGTTACATCTCTAGGCCCACAGAGAAGACGATATTTATGGCCTTCATGATTGCCATCGCTGGTGTCTCACTTTTCCTAAACATTCTAGAAATATCCCACTTAGGTATCAGGAAAATCAAACAGGTGTTGTATGCAGAGAGGTACACAGAAGATGACAGTTTGATTTACAAGTCCAAGAGGAAGTCGTCCTTACCACATCTCTGTGTAACAAGCAATGTATCACCTCACGATGGGCCTTTAACTCAAACCTTCAAAGTGATTCCAGGGGCGGACCTGAAACCGAGTCATTACAACAGTGGGCTCAAAGCCAATCAGGACGCACCAAGACACAACAGCTTGGCTCATGTGGGGCACAGTCAAACCATCTATATCTATCCCCAAGCAAGGAATCCACCCACGTCTGCCCTGAGCTGTGCAATCCAAGCTCTCCAAACTAGTGAGGGTTCAGAGGTCCCCACAAACCTGGACCTCACTCAAGCCTGGATCCCTGTCATGTCCACTGCAGATGGGACTCAAACAAGCCACAAGGACATTCATGAGGAAGACCATCCTCACCCCAGCCATTTGGAAGCTCTGCTGGCCAGTAGCAATGTCAGGCCCAGAGCTATTCCAAATCTTAATGAAAATGAAAGAAGGGAGTCAGTGGGGAGCGAGTTCCTGATCCCCAACACTCGGAAGACTAGCTTTATGATCAGGCCACCATCTGAGAGCTTGTCGTCCATGACTGGCTCCACAAGTCCCTCCTTACATACATCAGAAGAGTCAGATGAACTGGGGTCCTTGCAGGGAGACATGCCGATGATGCCACCAGCCGGAGGCCGAAGAATGTCAATGGCAAGTAAACAGCAGTCTCATGTGCCTAAATAACAGAACACAATTGTCCAGAAAGTTGACCTCACCTATTCAAAGTCTAAATTAGACTGTACAGTACTATAATTATATACACACAGAACTGTATGTGTAATTGTAGATACTCTACTTGTGAATCTAGCTAAGGCCCAGTACTATCGATTCAGTATTCTGTGGAAATAATGATTAGAATTCCAAATTCCCCTAAATTATTAGAGATAAAGGCATTAAATGGCTTCTCATTTGTTTGACCTCTTGTCAGAAATTTAAGGACACATCAGAGTTACAGAGTTGGCAAATAATTATTTCACTATAATTTTAATTGAAGAGCTCAAAATGTCAGTCCTAATGAAATATTCAAAATTGGAACATATTGTATTTTTATTTTATGACAAATTTCATGCATGGTTTGCCAATGTTTAATTGTTCTGAAATTAAGAGTAATTAGAATAGATTAGAAATTAAGCATATATGTTAAGCACACATGCTTTAACAGATTTTTAAACAACACTGCATTAACCTTAAGATCCCATGTCTAACTAAACTGGTTGGTCCAAAGCTGCATAGTAGCCCTGACACAAATAAAATAAGTTTTATAATAAAAATAATATAATAAGTCATTCATCTTTTTGCTTTTTCTGAATGTGATGAAAATGTGCCAATACATTAAATGTCAGAGTTGTCTTTTTGTCTTTTCCAGAGTATGTTTCTGGATATCTCCTCAATCATGAAGAAGTGAAGAGACAAGGCTAATGTCATGGCTGTAAGAGCTGTTGTCCACAACCCAGCTAGGTCACAAACAAGGGAGAAACTGTATCAATGATCCAGCCATCAACATTGATCCACTCAAGTCACATGTGGCCCAAACCACTCAGCCATGATGAGGCAGCAGACTCAGTGCCAAAGCACCTTACAATGTCTACATGTTCACATTAATAGAAAAGGATTTTTTGAAAATGGACATCTTTCAGTGTGTTGGCCAAATTTTTGATAATTTTTAAGCAAAAAACAAAAAGAATTATTAATCATGGCGCTTAAGAGGATCTGTTTGTTTCTGTAACATGGACTTTATAAGCTTAAATACCTTTTCTAAGTCAAAGACTTCATTAGAATGTGTGTGTGAGTGTGTTCTGGTCTTGGTGCGGACCAAAATCTGAAATTTACTGTACTGGCGGAAACCAACAGCCCTCATGGAGACCAAAATCCAGGTCCCCACGGGGTTGAAGGCATTTTTTACACTCAAAATGTGGTTTTAGTGTCAGGGTTACAGTTGGGTTATGATTAGGTTTAGGGTAAGAGTTAGGTTTAGGCATTCATCTTTGATGGTTGGGGTAAGGGTAAGTGGCTAGTGAAAGCATTATGTCAATGGGATGTCCCCACGAGAATAGCAACCGCAGACGTGTGTGTGTGTGTGTAGTGCAGTGCAGTGATTTCATGTGGAGTTATACTTTATATTGTATTAAAATGAAATATTTATTAGCAAAACAAAACAAACAACCCCACAAAAAGCTTTTTTCAACAACTATTTAAACAAAATACACACAAACACACACACACCACTATGGAATTTCCATGCTTTTTATTTTATTTTTCAACAACGATTGCCCAGGCAAAATGTATGTTTTTCTCATATCAAATAACCAAGGCATGGCATTGCACAATAGTTACAAAAAAAAACCTAAACACTGGTCATTTGAATATTCAAAGATAAAAAAAGAAATGAAAAATACTAAATCTGTTTCTAACAGTCATGTTGCAGGTAAAATGAAAATGTAAAATGTACAAATACTATAAAAAGTTACAAACAATGCCACAGAAGCTGTCTACTTGTCTGTCCTATGGTCTTTACTCATGAAGAGGTATGCTGAAGCATGCAGGTAGATACATGTTAAAAGTGTGTTCAACTGTTTATTTTTGTTAGCTTTGTTTTCTTAAAACAACAAGTTCACAATCCAAGATTCATTCATTCTGTAAACTGGCTGGATAAAATAGGCAACGCTATTAGTCTGCTATCAGATATCAGATCACTGCAAACTGGAGGCATCTGAAACTTTAATGAATGTCAGAAAACTCTTCCCATATACCCAGTGCTGTGTGCCAAATAAACACTGTCTTCAATTTCCTGGTAATGCTGACAAATTTATCTTTCAAAATATAACATTACATAAAATAATTTAAAGCGGCATTTCATTTTATTGTCAAAAGTACAATGATATCATTTTACCATAGTAACATATGCTGCCCCGATAGTCTCTGGCTTAAATTTACATTTGAAATGGCATTACATGCGCTACATGACTGAAAATATTTATCAAAAAGACTACTAGACATTCTACAAATGTTGTACCCTGACATTTGGATTTCTAAAATTCAGACCACCAAATGATACCTTTTACTTCACTGAAGTGAAACCTTCAATTAAACCAAAATCTTGTTAAATTTACAGCCAAAACAAGGCACAGAATCACTGCATGAAGTTTCTTCATGACTGCACAAAGTGCATGTGGTGAACAGGAGTGAAAAAATATGGCAACATAATTCTATGATATGACGTTTTCCAGTCTTACAGCAGTTTTATATCACTCCTTTATTAAAATTAGGGATTAAATATTCCAAAATGTACAACAAAATTTAATGTTGACTCAAAGGCAAGTGTAGGTGATATTATGATTGCACACACTACATTCCCAAAAAATATCAAAACCCCAAATATTTATCACATATCTTTGCAATTAGTGTTTTTCCCCTCACAAGACATTTTCTTTTAGAAACCAGACATAAAATAGGTGGGTGTAACTGGATTAAGCATTTTATATTGACCTCTTTAAAATTTGAAGGTGTTTTGTAACAGGGAAAGTGAATATTCTGTGAGAAACAGTGTTGTAAGCTCATCAACAAATATGGATCAGATTAATTAAATCAAGTGTACATCTCCTTTATCCAGGAGGACATTTGAGAAAGCATTGGGCATATAAAAAAAACCAACACACACAAAGGAAAAGAAGTTATAGCACATAATCTTATGGATAAATACAAATAAAAACAATGATAGATGTATGATACTGTGAGATAACCCAACACATTTTCAAAACAAAGTGTTTTTAATTTTCAAAAGATCTATTTATTTCAAGTAATTTTTCCATTTCAGCACTTTTATACAAACCATGCATGTTCTGTGATTATTCCACATTTTCATAACAATGTTTTCCAGTTTAATGATGTTTCTTAATTACATAAGTTTTTAATATATTGATTGCTGGCTCTCAATATTTTCAGAGGGGAGGAAATGGAAGGTTCATCAATAATGAAACAAAATGCCTGAAATAAACTTGTGGAAATTCTACTACTAGACCCCGGAGATGACAAAATTTGATTGCCTTGTTTTGTGACACTTACAGTGCAGTTTTTTATAAGAGCAGTGGAATTTCCAGTGAATAAAATATTCCTGTGATGGTTAAGCCTATACCCTCTAGCAGCACCAGTTAGAATCCTACTCTTATCACAAAGTCTTGAAACTTTTAACCAATCTAAATAAAACATCATCATTTCTATTAAAATGAACTATCTGTGTTAATTGTATCACTACAGTTAAAAGACCATTTACTACACTACATTGTAACTGACTCACACCTCTTTATGTTAAAATATTACAACTTAAAAGTACAAGTGACTTGCAAATAAAGAACAGTGTGTGTGGCAATAGTGAGTGAGGGACCTGCTCATGTAATTGCCTGTCATTCTCATGTGTTAAAGCGGGCATGTCAAGCTCACATCCTATCCATTAAGAGTACTTTTTGAATTTAAATATCCTATCATCTTTACCACACTAATAGCTTCACATTTACATAATCACGCAGGGAAGTTTTGACTCTTTAGTTCCTGGGTTGATATCTGAGAATAAAGACGAGTGTCATATTAGACTTTCCTGTGCTAAAAGTGGCACAACCCACATTAAAATGCCATGGGCATGCTTCATCATAATGTTCACGGTGTAGCAGCAACAACACAGACACCAGCAGCACTCACCCCTGCCACGTGCCTCACCATTGACATTTCAACAGATGAATCTGGCATCCCTTTAAATCAATATGTGCCAGTGTGCTTGAAACTTTGAACCACCATGCAGTATTACAGATACTGATGCATATGTAGAAATTCACTATTTGCTTGGAGTTTCAGCACATTGAAATCTGAAATTTGAAACTGAACATGCTGCACTGAATACTTTTCAGCACAGTTGTCTTATGAACAATGCAAGATGAGTGCAATTTAATACATAATTACTACAAACACTAAAATATTACTAATACAATAAATACATGGGTCAAAAGGAAAGAAATAACAGAATATGATTTCCTTACACTTCTCCTTCTGAGCATGGAAAGTTATAAATTCTATTATCCAGTTCCACAAATAGATTCTATGTACTGGTCTTTTAAACTGTCGGTTACAGATCGTACCAGTATAACTGAATTTTAAACCCATTATAATGGTTAATGTATCCCAATGATCCAAGACATTATGACCTCTCTCAGACAAAGCCAATGATTATTCGATTATTTTATAATTTCACATGTCAACATCTGGGATCTGGGATCTACATCTGGGATTTACTAAAGTTTAAAACCCAGCAAAAACAGTGACTTCTCATTGTTAGCATGTTGTAATTGAGAGAAATGCCTAGCCTAATTTAAAGCCTAATTTTCTGGGGCTAATCAAACACAGTGGTAATAGTGATAACATGGTCAGCAAACCATTTGGGAGGAGCTTCTTTGGGATCACCAATCTTTCCTGGCCAAATTCCCAAAGAGAAGAATCCAGATAAACAAACAACAAAAACATCTCTGTAGAAATGATCCATATAAGATGATCATTTTTTAACAGTGTCTATGGCAATATTGAAGTGAGGGACTAGTTCAATCAAGCACAGTAATAACATGGTCAGCAAACCATTTGGTAGGAGTTTCCTACCAATCTGGATATAAAAGGAAATTCTGCATAAAGCTTGTCAGCAGATGGAAGCATTAGGTGTCTCCTGGTAGACAGCTACACTCACGTTGGACTTTGGTGTGACTGTGTGAAACAACCATGACCAACACCAGCTGACGGCGTGTTACCTCAAATCATCACAAACTTTCGAAACTTCTCATTGGACACCTTGGATTCTGTTGCTCTCCACTCTCCACTCTTCCTCTGGAACTTGATTTTCAAATGAAATACAAAATTTGCCTTCATCTGAAAATATGACTTTGGACCACTGAGAAACAGACCAGCTCCTTTGCTTTTTACCTTAGCTCTGGTAAGATGCTTCTGACATTGTCTTTAATTAGATGGTGAATTTATAAAAGGAGCAACATCTGTGCATGGTGCTTTTGATGCACCAGTACCAGCCTCAGTACACTCTCTGTGAAGCTCTCCCAAGTTTCCAAGTGGATATATGCTATTTATACTATTTTACTCAAGCTCAACATTATTTTTTTATGACTTCTGATTTTCAAATGTTTTGAATGTAATGAATACAGAATATATGGAAGTTGATGTTTTTTATAGGAAAAAACTTTTCGCAATATTCAAATATTCTTATATGCAGTAGTAACTGTTTTCAGTTATATGCTTTAAAATCAAAGGCAGTAATTTCTTTGTAAGCTTTGTTAAAGAAGGGCCAGCAATTAATACTTCATTTAAGTTTTTGTCAGGATCAAGTGAAACAGGTCTCTCTAGAAACCCCAAACCCAGTTTGACCACCATGCAGTTTTGACAAGGATGTGCCAAGCTTACTTTTACAGTTTTTACATTCTGATTTTTATACTAAACTCATATTAGAACGACCAAGTGAGAAAACATTTTAAAAATCTTCAGGAGAAATATAAAGTAACCCCTATGGAAACCATCTACTGGAAACCACTTAGTTGGCTTCATACTTAATTTTAGTGCTAAAGTCACAAAGCATGTAACCAATGCCACATCTTCCCCCTCAGATGTACTGGACAGTGCTTTGACTCTGTAATGTATCTCTGCCTCTTTAGTAGAATCATTTAAAAAAACACAGAAGAAGAAGATTAAAAAAAATACACAAAAAAGTAAAAATCAAGTCTGACATAAGAAACGCTAAATGCGTATGACAGCTCATTTATTTGTTTTTCTCCCAATGTGAAATTTTATAAATACAGAACTTTGGTAACATTTTACTTTAAAGTCCTGCATCACTTAACAGTTACTGCATCAATTTATAGAGTCAAGCCTAAACTGTTTTATATAATCAGATTCACTTCAATAGTTTAAGAGATACGTGTTTTTCTTTTTCAGGCCAATTAGCCAATTGTTGATTACAACATTTAGATAGAATATTTGTATCATTAATTTCATTATCTGTCTAAGGTGCCATGGTCTGCAAGAGAGTGTGGATACCCATGCAAAAATATCCAGGAAAGTCAGCATGGCCTAGCTGAGCTCTCATTAAAATTAAAAACATTCAGACTTGTCCAATTATAGCTCCATTGTTTAACCCAAACACCAAAAAGATCTCTAAAAATGGCTTTAGTGGTTTTAGTGTGCATTTATGTCATCTTGGTCATGCCCCAGCCATAAGTAAAGGTGGGATTCCTTAAAATATAGATATTAGAATATTTCTTTTAACAAATTCCAATTCATGGTAAAATAACTAGAGGAGCATCAACACACTGAAGTAAAATGGGTGCATATTCAAAACAGCTTAAAGCTACTTTATTTAAATAACATTAATAGAAATAATAATGCTAAACTAAACTTTTCCACATTTTAGTGGTTCAAAATGAAAACTGACTTACAATATATCCAAACATTTACCACAAATCATTTTGCACATAAGTAACTGTCAAGATTAGACAGGACTGCAAAGTAAAGTTCAGGTTTATGTTAACAAGCATATTACTGTACATCCTGGAGAATTCCTGAGTTTAGCCTCCCATGATGCATGAGAGAAGAAGAGAATCCAATGGAACACAGAAAGAGAGAAAGCTGCCAGTGCTTTTATTTTCTACCAGTCCAAAAAATACCTGCTGAACAATATTGAAAGACAATACTGGTATCATTCATTTAAAAAAACAGAAAAGAAACAAATGCTTTAAATATCAAAGTATGCACAGATTGTGTCATTTAGCCCCAAACTCTAAGCACAGTCTTGTCTGTTGTGTTCTTCTGTTGTGCATTTCACAGTCATCTCCTGACAGAAATCCACTGTTACAGTGGGGCTACATACTTCGTCAGTAGATTCAAGCACTAGTGAAAGCTCAGGATCCTCCTGCCTTAAAGGCAACATCTCCTCTGCGGGCTGCCTATCCTCTAACCCCTCCTGATTGGCATTCAAATTAGATGTACAAGCAACCTCACTTTGTTGGGTCACAGGTGACGTGGGTTGGACAGACCCGTCCTCAGTTGAAGGTGATGAGGGGTTGGATGTGAGATCAATGCTGGCAAAGTCGGGTGATGGCTGGCTGCCTTGCACCTCCCTACACACTTGCTGGGAGAGGAAAGAGAGGTTCTGCAACAGCTCGGACATACAAACCTTCAGCCTGTTTCGCTCGCTAAGCAGCTTCTCCTTCTCACGTACCTGGGTTCATAAGACAAAGCATCATCAGGTTATCATGACATTGCTGTTCCCTCATTGCTGATCACTTCATCAGGTTAACTGCAGCCCACTTCCTATCTGGCCCCACACCGATCATTACAGTATAAGCCTGTGAAGAATCTTTTAACTCAATCTCATGTCTACACGAGCAGCCTCTTTGCTTCTCAATAAAAGTTGCAACGTCAAGTTTAGACCTAGTAAAATTTATATATCATATATTGTTACATTACGGACAAGTGCTTACAAGATTGATATTAGTGAGTTTCTTAATAGGCGTAATAGCACTGGAGCTGGGAATCAATGTAACAACTGTCAATATATTCCAACAGATATTTACGTACAGCAGGAAAAACCCCTGCAAAAGTGGACTGACAATGATCCACTATTGCTTAACATGAGAAAAATCAAGGAGGGTTTCCCTTCTGGCAGTCTTTAGTCGTGACACCATTTAATTTTCTTTTTTTTTTTCAAATTAAGATTCCACTAAGGTGGAAGCCTTCCACCCCTTGGCTTTGCATTAAAATTCTGAGAAGAATTGGTGACAAAGGGCAGCCCTGGAAAAGTCCAACTTCCATTGCAAACAAGTCTGCCTACTTGCCAGCAAAGCACGAAGTCACTGCAGGTGTATGTTGTGTAACAGCAAGCTGGATATCACATACTCCCACAGAGTTCCACAGAATTCCCACAGAATCCACAAACCAGAGGTGGACTTGTTGGGCAAACTCGCATGCACCCTGAAACAAGAGCTAGTTCAAAGTTCCATGACCAGGGTCAACACCACATAGTGTAGTGAGATATTAATAATGATGATAATCTCCTTTTCAGTATTTTGGAGTAGACTTTTCCAGTTAGCTGAGTAGCATGATCACCCCATAAGTGCAGCACACCCTCCATGAATCGCTAGTCCACACAGGAAAGTACAAATGGAGAGGGTGAGTGGAGGCACTCACACAGATTCTGTCACTACAGCATCTGTGTTAGGTCTGTTATTCCAAAAAGCCAAATATAATAAATGTGAGGTTAGTACCAGCATTTGTGGATTTAAATTATAGTTCAAGCTTATGGATCACTAAGGGTTTACAAAATGCATGTAAAAAGAAAAATACATTGCACCGGAATTCCTAAAACAAAAAGAAAAGAGGCAAAAAAATATAAAAAATACAAAAATAAATAATTTATTACTCTATATAACATATAACATACTCCGATGGACCTCAAGAGCAACTTAGTTAGCATCTTGCCCATATTTGGCATGCAGACTGGAGCAGCCAGCGATTGAATAACCAACCTTTCAATTAGTAGATGACCTGTGGTACCTCCTGAGCTACAGCCACACCCATATTGTTTTCTTTCACCATATTTACAAATTCCCTGTAAAAAGTTCATACTTTTAATTGCTTAAAAGCAATTGAAAGTATCTGTGAATGGCTTAGATACATTGTTAACACGCTCACTGGACAGACCTGTAGAGCATTAGCTTTTCAATGTGGATACTGGAGAACATGTTATATTAAAATATGGCTTAAGAAGTGTCACATTTCCATTTTATACCCACAAACCTTTTATTATTATTATTATTTTATTTATTCGAAGTGTGTGTATGTGTATTAGTTGACCATACCAGTTTGTGAATCTCGCTCTCCAGGTTCTGGATGCAGTCTAGCTTCCTCTTGCGACAGCGCTGGGCAGCAATGCGATTTTTGCTGCGCCTACGGATGTCATGGATGAATTCCAGCTGTTCTGAGTTCAGTTTATGCATCTTGATGAGAATCTGGAAGTCATTGCGTGGCAAGTTGGTGATCTGGTCCACAGGAAAAGGCAGCTTCACCTACAAAAACCAGGTCTTTATTGCAGTCTATTTAATTTTAAACCAAATGAATCAGGACTGTTGCCATGGAAATTAAGAAAACTATATTTTATGCTTAAGATATTTTCTATTTACATTTACAAATATAGTTTATATAAAATGCTGTTTGGAAGTCTGCAAACCCTCAAACGTTTCCTTTTTTATTTTTATTTTGCATAAATATGACCTAAAACATTAGATTTTAACCTGTCCTAAAATTAGATGAAGTGAACTCAATCAAAAAAAAAAAATCAGACTCTTCACGTATTTATACAAGAAAATTATTTAACATACATATCTGCAATTTTTCTATATCTACGACTTCAGTGGGATCACACACTCTGATCTTTTCTCTGCTTTTTGCAGATGATCTGGTTTTGTTGGTGTCACCACGTGACAACCACGAGTTGTGACAAGTCGTGACAAGCACTGTTGAGAAGATGTAACTGAGATGAGAAATGGCATTTCTAACTCTGGAGTCATGGCTCTCACCTGAGTGGCTGTCCCAAGTGGAGATGTTCAGCTGTCTCAGGGTCTTGGTCATAAATCATTATATTAAGTGGTGCCCCCAGTAAAGTACTTTTACTCAACTATAAATTTGAATACTTTTACACTGTGAATATAAGACTTCAGCATAGAAAGATTTATTATAGACATAACTGTTATTAGTATGTGTTCAGAAATGGAAGAAGTATTCAATTGCTGCAGTTGCATGTTGTCAGATGGAGTGCACTGTGATATAAAATCCACTAGATGTCAGTATTAGTATTGCTGTTTGTGCACCAGCTCAGGCACAAAGAACAGGGACTATCGGCTTACCTTTCTATGCAACTCTGCCTTATCAAAACGGTTATAGTTCTGTGTATTCTTCTTCTTTCCATGGAAACACACTGACATTTTTTTTAATCTATTGACTGAATAAATAAAAGACTCATAAACACATTTCAATGCATCTGATTTAAAATACTAAGGCATCGACAGCATGTGTATGTTGACCACTTCTTTTTGCTCTTAGCTTTACATTGCATCAGAACAGTCCACTACAACAGCACAAACTGTTCTCTTCAAACAAGCAATGCTCAGCACAACAATGCCAACATTCAAGTATGGTATCATTTATTGCGCTGACAATGGGAAGAGGCACTTATTTACTCGCAACCTGTCACAAAAATATAGCATTTGCACCCATTTCTTTTGTTGAACTTGGGAAAAATATGAAAGATATCCCATTTTGACAGCTATAAAATTTAATTTTTGATCCAACAAGGTGATTCGAGCTATTATATTTTATATCGGCATGGGGTGCTATGTTTAACCTGGACAAACTGGACACGGTTTGAACTGAGGAGAAAAGAAGAAGTGACAGGCTCAAAAACGGCAAATGAATACTATCTGAAAGTCACTTTCTTTGACAAAGACCTAACACAGGACGTCAGAGATGCATGTGGCCCTTCAGCTGATTCACAAACTGTTCGTAAATGGTCTCAGGGGAAGGATGGCTGGAGAGAAGCCATTCCTCAGTAAAGGCTATAGGGAGCAACGACCTAGGTATGCCACACTATACAAGAACTGGACTGAACGTCAGTGCCAATGGGTCTTATGGAGTGGTCAGGTTTTGATCCACACGGCAATATCATCTGGAAAGAGTCTGTTTAGCAAAAGCTTCATTTGTCAGTATGATACCATCCCAAACACACTAACAATGTAGTAAAAGCATAACTGGCTAGAAAAACACACAGTCGGCCCATCAGTCATGGACTGGCCTCCAACATTTGCTCAGTACTGTATATATTCATAACCTGCATAACTGGAGCTTGGGTCAGCAGATGGGAGATGTGGGCAGCACATCCATGGACATCCTGCCTGCACTCTCTTCTTTGCCTTTTTGTGCAGTTTGGTATTTAAATTCATCAAACTTCACTATCTCTACTTCTGCTCTTGACATCGTCAGTTTTACACCTGCCTCCCTCTCAACATGTATTCTGTCTCGCTTCTACTGACTTTCATTCCTCTTCTTTTCTGCTGAAAACCAAATATATACAGTTCTGCTTTAACACAGTTCTCATGCCAGAAAGACAGTTCCCAGACGACCTCAATGCCAACACACTGACATTTTAGCCAATGTAGTATAATAAAGAGCCATACTAACCTCAGGTCCAGAGATTCGAGAGGTGCCACTTTCACTGTCTCCCTCTGAGAAAGAGCCTGATTCATCACTGGAGTTCCCACCACTAGCACTGAATGTCTTTTCAGATTTAATCTTTGTGTAGTCTTGAGTGAGGACTACTTCATTGTGGGGATTCCTGTGCTCCACCATCCCAGCCAGGCAGTGAGGAAGTCCAGAAATTGAGCCTGACTGTGACGATGAGGAAAAGTCAAACTGGGACAAAGTAGAAGATGAGCTACCAATGGTTGCATCCTCTGGGTAAGAGTATGAGGCACGGGGGCTGGAAATCTGGTTGCATGATGTAGAAGTAGTAGGAGAGTCCACTGATGTTTTCGTTGAAACGGGGCAGCTGGTAATAAGGAATGACTGACTAGAGGGAAGGGATTCCTCCTGCATCAAGGTTGAGATGGCCTCATCAACATATGTATGGGACAGCATATGTTGCTTGATAGGCACAGAAGAGAAAATGACACTGCGTCTGTCCAGCTTCCCTTCATGCTTAGACACCGAATTTTCAAGGTTTCTACTTATACCAGTAAGTGCTGCTGGTATCACATTGGCAATGCCAGTGTTGAGGTCAACTTCATCCAGAGATTCCCTCTTGGTTTGTGGTCTCTGTATGACCAGTTCTTTGTAATGGTTGAGAGACAGTTGGTTGCTTAGTAGCTGCTGAATGGTGGTGCTTGGCATGCTGCTGAGACCACCTCTCTGGAGGTATGAATGCAAACAGGAAGAGTATGATACTTGGCTGGAAGATTGCACATCTTCTACTGGAACCCCTTCTACCTCTAACTCCATCTCCAATACCTCCTCAGTACACAAGTCTGAGTTGCTGTCATTCCTTTCATCTCCTTCTTCCTCAAATAAACAGGGTTCTTCTTTGATCCTGGAGGGAGTAAGACGTGTTTGTGGAACAGCGCTACTGTCGGTGAAGTGTGAGCTCAGAGGGCTAATTGAGGTATGGTTAACCAAAATGATGTCATTACTAATATGATGGTTCTCTACATTGTGCTTGTTGTCACAAACTGCATCCTGATATTTCTTATATTTTGGGCACTGCGGCAGGTCAGCAAGAACATGACTGTCCTGCTGCCTTATGTCTGCAGAATCATAACAGGATATTTCCTCAGAAAAGATTGGATTCTCTGTTGTGATATGATCATCGTATTCCACCGTGCCATTATGGTTAGGTTGGCTGTCATTCTTAAGCTGGGCTTGAAGGAACCGGAAGCAAGAGTCCTCCAAATTATGGATACCTAGGACGTCCGCGCACACAATTACTTCATGGATGTTTTCCTGACTTAAAACCAGCTTGGCGGTGTAGGCAAACTGAAGCAGTGGAGCGAAACCTTTGGCTGTCACCTGTGGAACAGAATTGAGGAGTCAAATTGAAGAATGAAAAACATCTATTTAAAAATTAGATCATATTATATATATGCAAATTTCTTTTGGAAGACCAGATCACAGCTCACAGCAAAAACTGAGCTAGCAAGCCTCAACACCTCCCCTTAATATGGACTGAAGTCAAATCTTCAGTATCACTACACTAGTCACTGTCACTCCCTCCCTCAGTTACTTGCCATATACAGTGGGGCAAAAAAGTATTTAGTCAGCCACCGATTGTGCAAGTTCCCCCACCTAAAATGATGACAGAGGTCAGTAATTTGCACCAGAGGTACACTTCAACTGTGAGAGACAGAATGTGAAAAAAAAATCCATGAATCCACATGGTAGGATTTGTAAAGAATTTATTCGTAAATCAGGGTGGAAAATAATATTTGGTCACCTCAAACAAGGAAAATCTCTGGCTCTCACAGACCTGTAACGTCTTCTGTAAGAAGCTTTTCTGTCCCCCACTCGTTACCTGTATGAATGGCACCTGTTTGAACTCATCATCTGTATAAAAGACACCTGTCCACAGCCTCAAACAGTCAGACTCCAAACTCCGCCATGGCCAAGACCAAAGAGCTTTCGAAGGACACCAGGAAAAGTATTGTAGACCTGCACCAGACTGGGAAGAGTGAATCTACAATAGGCAAGCAGCTTGGTGTGAAAAAATCAACTGTGGGAGCAATCATCAGAAAATGGAAGACATACAAGACCACTGATAATCTCCCTCGATCTGGGGCTCCACGCAAGATCTCATCCCGTGGGGTCAAAATGATCATGAGAACGGTGAGCAAAGATCCCAGAACCACACGGGGGGACCTGGTGAATGACCTGCAGAGAGCTGGGACCAAAGTAACAAAGGTCACCATCAGTAACACACTACAACGGCAGGGAATCAAATCCCGCAGTGCCAGACGTGTTCCGCTGCTGAAGCCAGTGCATGTCCAGGCCCGTCTGAAGTTTGCCAGAGAGCACATGGATGATACAGCAGAGGATTGGGAGAATGTCATGTGGTCAGATGAAACCAAAGTAGAACTTTTTGGTATAAACTCAACTCGTCGTGTTTGGAGGAAGAAGAATACTGAGTTGCATCCCAAGAACACCATACCTACTGTGAAGCATGGGGGTGGAAACATCATGCTATGGGGCTGTTTTTCTGCCAAGGGGACAGGACGACTGATCCGTGTTAAGGACAGAATGAATGGGGCCATGTATCGTGAGATTTTGAGCCAAAACCTCCTTCCATCAGTGAGAACTTTGAAGATGAAACGAGGCTGGGTCTTCCAACATGACAATGATCCAAAACACACCGCCCGGGCAACAAAGGAGTGGCTCCGTAAGAAGCATTTGAAAGTCCTGGAGTGGCCTAGCCAGTCTCCAGACCTCAACCCCATAGAAAATCTGTGGCGGGAGTTGAAAGTCCGTGTTGCTCGGCGACAGCCCCAAAACATCACTGCTCTCGAGAAGATCTGCATGGAGGAATGGGCCAAAATACCAGCTACTGTGTGTGCAAACCTGGTAAAGACCTATAGTAAACGTTTGACCTCTGTTATTGCCAACAAAGGTTATGTTACAAAGTATTGAGTTGTATTTTTGTTATTGACCAAATACTTATTTTCCACCCTGATTTACGAATAAATTCTTTACAAATCCTACCATGTGGATTCATGGATTTTTTTTCACATTCTGTCTCTCACAGTTGAAGTGTACCTCTGGTGCAAATTACTGACCTCTGTCATCATTTTAAGTGGGGGAACTTGCACAATCGGTGGCTGACTAAATACTTTTTGCCCCACTGTACAAGCAGTGACCTTACATCAGGACAAGCAAGCCAAACACTGCTTGTCAAGTGAAATCCTAAAATTTAACATCAATTATAACCAAATCAGAAGTGAAGTACCATTTTTTTTCAATTACTGTGGCCACAGTTAGCTTTTGTCTTTGGAAGCACATTTAAGTGTGTTTGACTTGAATCTACTGGAAACTCTTGCATTTATTGTTTTTATAGGCGTGTCCATGCCCTGTTTACCATATTAATATTTTTTGATTTTCCTGTAGATATAGACAGTTAACACACAATGCTCAACTCTTTTAAGTCAGCTCTGTTATCTTCTGCTTCTAAATTCAGGTAAAATAGAGGTTATTGTACTTGGCCCTAAAAAATATGTGTTTATACACCACTTTGCTTTTAATCGTTACTTATTATTAACATCTGTCTCTCTTCCACAGCATGCTTGTTCTGTCTTCCTCACTTCACCCCAAATCGGTCATGGCAGATGGCCGCCACTCTCTGAGCCTTGTTCTGCCAAAGTTTTCTTCCTGTTAAAAGGGAGTTTTTTTCTTCCCACTGTCCCCAAAGCACTTGCTCACAGGGAATTATCTGATTGTTGGGGTTTTTCTGTCTTCTCTGTATCATCGCAGCGCCTTGAAGCAACTGTGATTTGGTTCTATATAAATAAAACTGAATTACATTTTTGTTATCAATATTTTAATATACAGTGAAAAAATTCCCAGCACTTCACTTGTACCACGTTTTGTCATGTTACAGCCTTATTCCAAAGTACACCACATTGCCAAAGGTATTCATGCTTGCAGACAAGCTAGTTCCTGGTGACCATACAGGAGCAGTAATGATAGCCAGAGGCCTCAGGAAAGCACTTGCATGACTGTGTGGGGTCATCTAATGTGTGTCACTATGGTATAACGTCAGGTAAGGCCTATAAAACAACTGGAGCACTGTTATTACTTTCCGGATGCACTGCATAGTACTTATTTCAGTTGAAATGTGGCCTGTTTTTTGAGTAAATCTGTGTTTTTAGAGATATGTAGAAAAGTGATCACCACACACCACAGTACACAAGTGTACTATATTACACATCTCCAACTACTGCATAAGCTTTGCTGAAAAAACCAAGTGCTATAATTGAAGGGCACTTACAAACTATATTCTTTGCTATAGGACAAACACTGGCATAAGAATCACAGAGTACAGGGGGACACTAACAGCACTATGTAAATAAAACATTTTTCCAAAGAAAAAATAAATTTTCCAAAATGATGTAACAACTGTAACGATGGAGTGCAGATCATCATCCTATTATATCCACTAATTTCAGACAACTTTTAACATCACATTTGACTAGAACACTATAGGAGTTCATGGTCAGCTCAGTTACTTCAACGTGTCCAAGTCGTGTGGCTGAAAAACAATGAGGTACAATGCTTGAGAGACCAAGAACAGTGTATTATATGTACACACAGGCTGATATAATATTTAGTAGCTTTAAACTTATAATACATAATAAATCTATTAATTTGGTCACAGAGTGCTTATGAAACTGGAAGAGATCAATTACAACACTCTTCCTCATAGTAAAAGAAGAAAAAGGAGATGGCACATAACAGTTGGGGGTTAGATATTGTGAGCTGATAATTGTGCCCCATAAGTGACCAATCAACCACTGTCATGGTTATTTTTTCACATTTCTGATTTACTCATTCTTGTCTGGATCCCAGGCAGCACGGTGGCACGGTGGTTAGCACTGTTGCCGCACAGCAAGAAGGTCCTGAGTTCAATTCCACCATCAGGCCGGGGTCTTTCTGTGTGGAGTTTGCATGTTCTCCCCGTGTTTGCGTGGGTTCCCTCCGGGTACTCCGGCTTCCTCCCACCGTCCAAAGACATGCAGCTTGTGGGGATAGGTTAATTGGATAATCCAAATTGCCACTAGGTGTAAATGTGAGTGTGAATGGTTGTCTGTCCCTGTGTGTTGGCCCTGCGACAGACTGGCGACCTGTCCAGGGTGTACCCTGCCTCTCGCCCTACAGACAGCTGGGATAGGCTCCAGCGCCCCCCGCGACCCTGAAAAGGATAAGCGGAAGCGAATGGATGGATTGTCTGGATCCCTTCACTTCTTACTGTTATTCATCCTTCAACTCTTTTGCATTAGGTTTACTTTAGAGTGGAGTTGTTAAGTGTGAATGTGATGGACAGGGTTTTTGACACCGTTACAAAATGTATACGTTTACTCTATGTGGGTGTGTGTATGTGCTTGTTCAGTAACATGTATGTATAATGGTATGCATATAACATAAGTCTATTGTGAGCTAGAATCGTCTACAGCTCTCTATTGTTGAGATAGGTGGGAAAGTGTATTACCTGTCATCACATCTTCAGAGAAGGTAAAAGGTCTTAACATCCAGTCTTTTAGGTTAAAATACAGAGTGCTAAAACAGAGTTTATCTATACATGCTCTTGCTAATAATAAATCATCTTTATTCTTAGTTAACAATATAATGAAAGTAGAAGTCTGATTAATATTTTGAACGAGAAATGCATTTTAAATAATGACAGTGTCTGTTTTAATGCTTTAAGGGATTTTGTGTGCACCGACATGACCTTGGCAGATTAGTATCGTGATCAATATACTCAATACTTGTACATGAATAGTAAAAAGAAGAATTATTCTTATGGACAATGTCAGTACTGCAGACATCCACGGCACTCTACACTGTCACACTGTTGTGTCTTGTGTAAATGTTTTCAGGTTCTCAGAACATCGCACTTCTCTTTTTCTCATGCCCATTTATACCAGTTGTTGTCACTCTTACAAATAGAAGTTGTCATGAAATTCTCTGTTAATAAAGTCTGCAATGCGATCAGCTGTGGCCAAGGCATAGTGGCAAATGAATGTCCTTCACCTGAGAAATAAAAGGCTATACAACATTCTACAGTAAAATTCTGAGCACCTGAATCTAAATGTGAGCATAAACCACAAAACTTCCATCACAAAGTGGAGGGCCTTTTTTGTTTCAGCTTTTTGTGCACTTGGCAGTTTACTAGGGTATGACATGGGGTGTGAAATGTTAATGGCTTGTCAATGACATAACCGTTCCAAGATTCTAGAGAAGGAGATGGTGCAACAGCTTAAACTTATGATTTCTTTGTGGAGGGAACAGTTTGTTTCAAATTTGTTACTTCAATGCTGATGTGGAGGTTTGTCTGAGTGTTGGTGACCTTGTGCTGTGTCCACTGAGGTTGAGGAAACGTGGTTAGGAGACAGGAGGTAACTTTTAGGGCTATTTAACCTTATCCCTTAGTGACTCAATGGAGGAAACGTCTGGAGGAAAAGTTGCTTAAAAAGTGTTGCCAATGCTTATCTACACTGAAAGCAAGTCAAGCCCCCTCAACCCCCTCATTGAGATCATTAACAAGACTGGCTATGGATATTGTCTATGGAATAGTGCAATCATTAGCCACCTCCTCTACATTGATGGCACCAAGCTGTATGCCAGGAGTGACCAAGATATCAATTTACTGATGCATACCACTAGAATCTACAGCAATGAGCTGGGATAATAAAGTGTCCAAAGGAGGAAACAGAAGCCACTGACATCAAGACACAGAAGCTCCTCACCATGTATGGAGGGTTTCACCCCACGTCTCAGGGTGCTAGCACCCTGAGACTATACGCTAAGCAGAAGGAAGGAGGCTTAAAACTAGTGAATGTCACAACCACTATCCAGGATTAAACAACAAAGATCCATGAGGGAGAGTACCTGAGCTTGAAGGTTAAAGACCGACCGACTACAGGGCAAGTGGGGAATTATATACACGCATTCACGCACACACATATATATAAATCAACTCCACACTATGTGCCTATATTTTAATTAAACAACAAACAAACAAAAAAACCACTGTTTTTTTTGTTTGCCTGAACAAAGTTCAGGCATGCTCATGGGTGTTGGTTGCCACAACAACAAAGAGACAACTGCAAATACTGATTGGTTTTGTTGTATACATGCTGTATTTCCTTACCAAAGCATTTCAGTACAGTACAACATTCATGTTGTATTACATGCCTCAGTGCAACATGGACGCATGTAAGGCAGATTGCAATCACATAACTATATTCATCATTATGACAGATCTGGGGCATTACAGTGCTAGCCAGTGGTTCCCTAATGAGCATAGGAGTGGCAGTAACTAGGAGACTACTTCCATTAATACTCTTGCCTTATGTGCCAAAAAAATAGCTCAATTTCTGCCAACCCTACTGTTCCATCCATTCTCCCTACCCCTCTTGAGCAAGAAAGGTTATGTTTTCTCCATGTTTTTTATCTGGTATACTCTTGAACATCAACCGGCATAGACGCGCAGCTCCACCGTCTCCTTTTCATGCTTTGTTTCTCCAAAACATGAAATGGTAATCCATTCCTGCATGCAGAAATTGCATTACCAGCAGAGGGAGATAATGTATTTAAAGCCCCGAAGTCAGTAGTGAGCAAAAAACACAGCAAGTACATTTGAGGGTCCTTAACCATCAGAATCGATTAATCTAGGCAGCTAATATGTGTGTGCATGTAAATGTGTTGATAATGTCTGTGATTATTTTCCTGTTGGCTACCTCCATCTGTTGTTACTGCAGATTACTGCAACTTCTATATATGTGTATATTTTATGTTTTGGAAAGGCAAAGTGGGAAATGGACACAGTGGACCATAATAGCGTCCACTGTTTGTACCAGAAGCAGGAATTTCTCTGTCCATCTACTGTTAAATTTTACATTTCACAGGATTCAGGATGTGTTAAAACACAAATTGCTGTGTATCAAGTGTATCCCCACATGCTTGCTATTAAAAGCCATTTTAGTCTTATAATTGTTTTCTCACAAACACATCTATGTTTATGTTGTCTATTAACTTGCAGTTGTTTACAAAAATCAATTCATTCTAAAAATCTCAAATAACTATGAGAAAAACTGAATGTTCACCTGCGCATGTTCTTTTCCCACTGTTATTCTTGTATATGTACTGCTGTGTGCTGTGGTGCATGGGGAAGCTGTACTCTCTCAGAGATAACAGTACATTAAAAAAAGAGTGACCTGAAACCAAGGGGAGAAAAACCATTCTTTATTTTAAAACAAGATTAATATAATCATCGATTAAAACAACAACAAATACAGCAAATCATATTCAAGTAATAAATATTTTTTCTTACAAACAAAGCCCAAAATACTGGCAAATATAGTGTTAGCTTCATAAGCTTGAAACACTCAGGGAGATGAGTCTTATGGTCAGGGTGCTGTCTTAGTGCAAAGTTTTTAGGCTGAATTATCCTGAGATGCCTGAGCTGGCAGAGTTAAGAGAGAGAAAGAAAATGTTAGACATACCAGTGTAGACCTGGACGGGTAAATGCATCAGGAGATAAGGTGTGATTTCTAACAACCAATTTTAATGATGTAAATGAATTAGTTGTTGATGGTAAACAGTGTGTCATCAGTTAATATGAATTTGTGTGCTCAATATACACAAAAAAAAAAAGAGTGTGTGGTAACATACGTAATACAGCTGTATAAAACTGCTTTATAATTCCCCAATTTGTCTTAGATGATTCTTCTTTTCAGAGCTGGTGTCATATTTTAAACTTACCATGTCGTTTTAGTCTCATTCCGAGTCCTCCGCCTTCCCTGTTTCTGTCATCAGCTGAGCTGTAACGTCACACAGATGCTAACAGTCAACTGTATACAAAACTTCTCAAAAATACTGTTTTTTTATTTAAAGCCATATATCAGAAAAATAGCTATCAGTTTCCCTGATTGTTGTGCAGTTATCATACCAGTTTGTACATAGCAGAGGATAAATGACTTTAAACAGACCAGACAGCTTAATTCCTCAATGCTATATTTAGCTAATATTTCACTTGGTCAACACAGCAAAAAATCACAACTGAAAGCTTTTCTTTCTGATTTCATAACATTTAAAAAACCTGAGCTCAAACTTCTTACCTTCTAAAAGTGCATCTGAAACTTCGGTGCTGGCACAGCTGTTACTAACTTCCAGGAACTATTTGCGAGGCTCCATGATCCACCATTGCTGTAAAAAATGGTCCATTGGAGTGAATGGAGATGACAAGACTGTAGTTTCAACAGCTTTGCTATGTATGGCTTTCTGCATTTGAACTGAAACAATGCTGCCCCTTAATCGAGGGGCTGGTGTTTCAGTGCCTGTAACTTCTTATTACTAAAGTACCTGGACCTTTCACCCAGGAACATAAGAAAATGTTTTTTCAGATTGCTGGGTAGCTATTTTGACATATTTGACTTTATTTTTTAAAATAAGACAGAAAGAAAAAGAAAAGAGAGAAAGAAGGAAGCTGTGTACTTTAAAGTAAGCAAACAGATTTTACTTATCTACCTGAAGGTTTATGTTTAGTCCTGTTAAGCCACATCTGTAAGCTGTCACTTTTATTTGTTTGTAACTCACTCAGATCTTTATTGCTTTATAATGAGTCTTTTGACAATATTTTAACCGACCAGTTAATAAAACATTATTAACCAGTTATTAAGTTATTTCTTTCAATACTTTTCCAAATAATTTTGGAATGAGAAAAAGATAGAGAGGGAGATAACTAAGTTCTCAAAAGGCAGATGCCATGTAAAGGTAAATGCACTGGTCCTTGAATAGCACTTTTTTTTTTACTGTACTTGAGCACTCAAATCACTACATACAACACAGCTCATTCACCCATTCTTACAAGCACTTGTATGTAAGCAGGCAGCACGATGGCACAGTGGTTAGCACTGTTGCCTCACAGACAAAGACATGCACTTTGTGGGGATGGGTTAATTGAAAAGTCTAAATTGCCCATAGGAGTGAATGTGAGTGCGAATGGTTGTCTGTCCCTGTGTGTCCAGGGTGTACCCCGCCTCCCGCCCTATGACAGCTGGGATAGACTCCAGCATCCCCCTGCGACCCTGAAAAGGATAAGCGGAAGCGAATGGATGGATGGATGATAGATGCATCAGAGAGCCACTTGGGATTCAGTATCTTGTCAAATTAAACTTGAATGCAACAAACCTTCTGATTAGTAGATAATCTACTTCCTGAGCTACAACCACCCCTATGTACTATAATACTGCTGTAATACAACATTACTTTTTAGTACATTTAAATTTGCTATATTTGTCCTTCAAAACATTTTAAAATGAAGAAAGAATCTACTGCTGGCATAAGACCCGTTCATTGCTGCCCTTAAAACACTGTGGTTAAATGACAAATTACCGAATGATGCGAGTTACTTTTAAAATGACAACGCACTTCCTGTATCTCAAGATTTAATTCTGTTAACAAACAAACCACAAGAGAAAACTTCTGAAATAAAAATGTTACCTGCCAAATTACTTTTAATGAGTCATACAAACAAAGCAGAACAACAAATAAAAGCATTTAAACCAAGACTATCCTAAATTTAGAGTCTCAGTGAGCATGCAAAGTTCTGTTGGTCAAAGATGTTTGGACATTTGTAGACACCTACCTCTCCTTTTTGCTGTGGTCTTGGCCAACACCGTATGACACACTCAATACCATTTTTAATACTGCAGAGAAAATTCTGACCCCATCCTGCAAAACCACAAGTGACAGTGAAGAAGTCACATTAAGTTTACTTCCTACTTCTTCTTCTTTAATTAATTTTCCCAATTATTTAAATAAATATTTAAGATTAAGTTCACAAATTATTGTGATAATTATTATTTAGATAAATATAATTATTTACATAATTCCATTACACTGGGGTAAAATATATTTTAGAACTTAACAAAGGGTAAAACTGTAAAATTCCTTTAAATTTTAATAATTAAATGCATCTGTCTGGAGCAGTGCTATGCATTTCTGATCTGTCAGGAAGCGTGGGATGAGGCAAATACAGCACTCAGAACCCAGCAGACTAAAGTGAAAACTAACCTTTAATAAAGTTGTATACAGATGTCAATGATACAGTAAAACACAGGATTGCAGAGGGAAAAAAACACAGCAAACACTAAATTTCTTCAGACTACAGGGATTATATGACAGAAGGTTCACAAACAATCTGAAAAAAAAAAATCCAAAGAAAATAGGTTCTAAATACACACAAGGGAATTAAGGTAAGTAGAGATGGGAAATAAAGTACAGCTAAAACTAATTAACACAGTGATACAAATGGAAGAAAACTGAATGCAACATACAACAACAGACAGTTGACTAACAAAATAAAATAGGAAGGGAGAAACAATCATTTCAAACAGGGAGGAACGGACTACAGATTGAATAATAATAATAAGGGCTGCACATATGCATTTCGGAATAAAAACACTGTGGTATAATAGCTAGCTAATGCTACTGAACTTAGGTTTGGAATACTTGCCTTGCAGATGCACTACGTTCCGCCGTGGTGCCCACTGCTGACTGTGAATGGTCCTTTTTTCTCACTCTAAACTCACTATTGTTACTTTTATAAAAACATTTTTAAAATGTTCCCCCGTTCATGCTGCTTATCTGAAAAAACGCTATAAGATGACACTAAATTATATTGTATTTTTAATAATGCGAGCCTGTAATTTTGCAGGCATCTTATATGTATTGCTCAAACTCATTAAACTTGCAGATTCATTAAGAATAATATAGAATATGCATGCTATTGCAATAGTATTAGAAAGGCAATGCATTTCTATTATTATTACTTAATAGAAAATAATATAATAATACTATATTATTTTAAGATAGGCAAGTAAAATTAAATACACCATTTGTGATATTACCATACCTTTTAACAGTTTACTAATCCTTGCAGATATTATGTCCTAATGATCGTAGCGTATGTATATATGTATGTTTGTATGTTTGTATATTCCCCATCTCCTTTTAGACTAGTTGACCAAGCTTGATGAAACTTTGCTTAAACAATGCCTAAAGCAATGTGAATGCCAACATCTATATGACGTATATAAGTATTTCATACACATCACAAAAATATATTTGACAGCTCAACTGAGCACCAAATGGAATACCATAGTATAAAGAGGAATGTCAGAATACAGAATGAAATTTCAGATTGGAGTAGTGCCCCAATAATATGTATCATAGCATCATACTATGATGATTTATATGCAAGTTGTTTAAACTTAAGATGAAGAAAAACTACAATATCTACAGTTACGCCATTATAAATAAGGATAAGTTGAGTTCATGGAGTTTTGCGATTTCTTTGTATTGTAATTGTAATCCAGTGAGTTTGCACGACTCAGTAATGCACTACAACATTGTTATTGTTAATTGTGAGTCATCGTTACTCTGTTAATCACTGAGTTGAGCTAAAGTAAATCAATAATAAAATATAAATAATATAAATATAAAAATAAAACTCCAGAGAGTATATTTGACACCCCTACTGGTTAGGAAGGAACAAGCCCCACCTTCCCCTGCTCTGTACGGTAGTGATGGGATTTCCGGCTCTTTTTAGAGAACCGGCTCTTTCGGCTCGGCTCACTAAAAAGAGTTTTGTTGTGTTTTGTTGCTTTAATTAATTAATTTTCAACAACAATATAAAATTATGCACAAAAGGAATTAGTAATGTAAAAAAACGTGGTTTTCTTTATGTATTGTTGAGCTAGTTAATAGGTATGCCCTCATTGTCATCTGTTGTGATTTTATTTTGAAAGGATGCTTCCTGTTATGCTGCGGAGTATACGCGAGAGTTCAATAAACAAAGTCACCTTTTGGTGTGAATGTTCCGGTAAAAGCCGATGCCCCACGTGTGATTATTCCTCCGTCTAGACAATAAGTATCTTCAATATTCATGCAGATTCTGCTGGAAGACCCGTCTCTGCTAACATGTATGTTTATATATAAATACTAGGGGTGCAACGATACTCGTATCGATATTGAACCGTTCGATACAGTGCTTTCGGTTCGGTAAGCATATGTATTGAACAATACAAAAATGTAATTAATTTTATCAACTTTTCTTCTAACGATGCTGTCTGTGTTGAGCGCTCAGTGGATCTGCGTCCGACCAGTCCGCCTAGGCTGCACTGTCGAGCGCAGATCCACTGAGCGCAGCGCAAGCTAGCAAGACAGGAGCTAAGCTTGTTGCAACATGGCAAATTGAACCTCCCCCACCCTCATTCAGATCTGGCCTTTGGAACTATTTTGGTCTTCATGTGAAGTATGACCCTGAAGGTAAGCGCGTCATGGACAAAAGTAAAAAAGTATGTCGGATGTGCCACGCAATGCTCAATTACATGGCCCGACATATATTACACCTGACCCCTACAGCGCCTCCTGCAGGTGGTGGGCCTACAGGGTCCATGGACTAAGACCCAGTCACCAGACACTCACCCTCAGGCACCATCCCCATGCCTGGCTCCAGGGTGGGGCCCCGGTAACCCAATCCCGGGCAGTGTGAACTGTTCCCTTGATTGTAAACTCATAGAGGTCTTTTCAATCGCTCTTTGTCTGGTACCTCACTCAGGACCAGATTGTCATTGGGACACCCTAACAAACTCCTCCACCATGATAAGGTAGCGATTAATGGAGGGTGTATTCCAACTAAAGGGGGATCACACTCCTCAGCCTCCCTGGGAAAGTCTATGATAGGGTGCTGGAAAGGAGAGTCCGTCCATTAGTTGAACCTCGGATACAGGAGTAAAAATGCGGTTTTCCCCCTGGTCGTGGAACACTGGACCAGCTCTTTACCCTCTCGAGGATCCTGGAGTGTGCATGGGAGTTTGCCCAACCAGTCTATATGTGTTTTGTGGACCTGGAGAAGACATTCGACCATGTCCCTCGGAGTGACCTGCTTGGGGAGTATAAGGGTTTCTGGCCCATTGCTACGGGCCATTCTATCCTTGATGTTGGCTATGCAGCTTGGTCTGCATAGCGAACATCAAGTCAGACTTGTTTCCGGTGGGTGATGGACTCCGCTAGGGCTGCCCCTTGCCACCGATTCCATTTGTAATTTTTAAAAATGAGACCACGCAAGCTTGTGGGTGGTCTCAGAATCTCATGTCTGCTTTTCGTAGATGACGTGCTTCTGTTGGCTTCATCGGGTGATGGCCTCCAGCTTGCACCGGAATGGTTCTCAGCTGAGTGTGAAGCGGTGGAAATGAGAAATCACCACCTCCAAATATGAGGCCATTGTCCTCAGGTGGGGTGCTAACTCCAGGTTAGGGACGAGTTCCTGCCCCAAGTGGAGAAGTTTAAGTATCTTGGGGTCTTGTTCACGAGTGACAGGAGTGGGTGACAACAGTCGGATTGGTGCAGTGATGTGGACGGTGTACCAGTCCGTTGTGGTGAAGAGAGGGCTGAGTGTAAAAGCGAAACTCTCAATTTACCGGTCGATCTACGTCCCTACCCTCACCCTATGGCCACGAGCTGTGGATAGTAGGGATGCCATCATGGCACCGGTTCTGACATAAACGGTAGTAACCAGACCGAAAAGCAGCGCACATTTCAGTGCTTTATTTCGGTGCTTTTTTTTTTCCTGAGCTGTGATACACTTTAGATTCTAGCTGATCATTTTACGTTTCCGAGGATAGTAGGCGGGTGCAGGTACGTACGTTCTTTTAGAGCAGAGCTACAGATTAAAAATGCCCAAGGCGAAGCGGTCAAAAGTCTGGCTGTACTTCACAGCAAAATATGCAAACTCAGCAGCCTGCAACAAGTGCTTTAAGGTGATACTGTGATACTGTCAAAGGAGGTAACACTTCAAATCCGATGAAACACCTGGCGACGCATAGCGTTTTTTTAAAAAGCCGAGAAATGCACCGTATTTGATAGCTTGCTGCGAGACCTCACACCGAGCACATATGGGACCCGGAGTTAGCAACATCCCCCAAAAACCCGTAGAGGAGAGTCCTGGCCCCTAGCACTGCCAGTGTAGCAGAAATGATGAGGATGATGATGCAGCAGCAGCCGTTCTTCTCTGCGTGAGTAGCTTAATGTTGTTCGTGTGTAATTTACGTTGAGTAGGCTAACCACGTTATTACATTAATGCATGTAAGGTGAACTAGCAAACATCATCATAGCTACATGCGGCTGTCTTCTTGTTTGATGGCAGGTACTCCCTTCACCCTGGCCAAAAAGGCTAAAATGACCAAAGAAAAAGTGGAAAACAGTTAAAAATGAGAGGTTTTTGGACAAAGTTTGGGTTTTTTCCATTGTTTAAGCACTGCTTCCAGCCAAGGGTGATACCATATATGCGCCATAGCTGCAGAAAAGGCTAACATTGTTGTTTTTTTTTACAAAAAAACAGCTGAACATGAGAGGTTTTGGACCAATTTTGTGTTCTCCATTCTTTAAGCACCGGTTTGAGCACCGTTTAAGCACCGGCACCGTTTCAAAAGTACCGGTTTGGCACCGGTATCAGATAAAACCTAAACGATACCCATCCCTAGTGGACAGTGACCGAAAGAACGAGATCGTGGATACAAGCGGCGAAAATTAGCTTCCTCTGAAGGGTGGCTGGCCTCTCCCTTAGAGATAGGGTGAGAAGTTTAGCCATCTGGGAGGGGCTCAGAGTAGAGCCGCTGCTCCTCCACATCGAAAGGAGCCAGCTGAGGTGGTTCGGGCATCTGACAAAGATGCCTCCTGGGCGCCTCCTGGGTGAGGTGTTCCGGGCATGTCCCACCGGGAGGAGGCCCTGGAGCAGACACAGGACACGCTGGAGAGATTATATCTCTCGGCTGGCCTGGGAATGCCTTGGTGTTCCCCCGGATAAGCTAGAGGAGGTGGTTCAGTCAGTCAAAGGCCCAACTCACGAACGCAATCATACCCTGGATGTCGTACTTTCTTGTGGCCTATCACTCCTTGACACTAAAATTTGTAACATAAATCTTTTGGACCACATGTCTTATTTGAGTGTCTCTTTTCAGGTCAGCCTGGTAAATCAAATGTGCTGCTCCTATAAAAATCTATATCAGGCATCACCTGTTAACAAGTCCACTCATTCGACAACTAATAGTCTGCTTTCTCTGTTCAATTAAGCTTGTCTGGAAATACTGCTTTCCAGACAAGCAGACATTGCTCCTTTTACCACCAGGTATCTAAAACCTAAAACCCACCATGGTTGAATAATGACACCAGGGAACGCAGACAGGTATATAGTAAAGTGGAATGAAAGTGGAAAAAGGACTGTCTCCAGGCGTCGTTTGAGGCACTTAGAGAATCCCTGGCAACTTACCAGAAAGCTGTAAGAGCAGCAAAAACAAAAAACTTTTCCAAGATCGTGTCCAACAATTACCATAAACCTCTGATTTTATTTGGTATTATAAATTCAGTTCTTAATCCTCCTACTACTGATCCTCATATAGCAGTGAACATAACGTGAGAATCTACTGAAATTCTTCATTAATAAAATTGTAGATATCAGGTCTCACATTATTCCTCCCATTTCTGACCCATGTGTTTATACTCCAACTTTGGCCGTTTTTGACCACTCCGAGCCAGTATCCCTTACATTACTTAATAAAGTAGTCAGAAACTTGGAACCTTCAAAATGTACCTTGGATATCATTCCACCTAGCTTACTGATAGATGTTTTTGACACTGTTGGTACATGTTTGCTTTCCATTGACAATAACAGTCTTCAGTCTGGGTCTGTTCCCTCTGACTTTAAACATGATGTGGTGGAACCCATCCTTAAAAAGCAGAATCTGGACTCAACAGTTCTATCAAATTACCGTCCAATCTCTAAATTGTCCTTTTTGTCAAAAGTTCTGGAGAAAATTGTCCTTCTGCAGCTTCAGACCTTTTTAGATCAACACGACATTGGTTAACTATTCCAGACTGGTTTTGAAACGCACCACAGCACTGAAACTGCTCTTTTAAAAGTTTCTAATGACCTTTTAACTTTTACTGACTTGGGAGATTCTGCTATTTTAATATTATTAGACCACAGTGCTGCTTTTGACATAATAGATGACAGTATTCTTATCTGTCGACAGGAACAATGTGTCAGAATTAAAGGGCTTGTTTTGGAATGGTTTAAATCCTACTTATCTAATCTTACTTTTCTGTTAGATTCAGATGCATTGTCTCCAAGGACCGTGCTTTTTTGCGGGGTCCTCTTTTAAATTTACATGGTCCCGTTGGGATCAATTTTTTAAAAATACGATATTTCGTTTCATTGCTGCACAGACGATTCTCAGATTTACCTTCCACTGAAATTAAAATCATTAAATCCTCTGAAGGGACTGTTTAATTGTCTAAAAGATGTAAAGACATGGATGGCTCTAAATTTTCTAAATCTAAATGAACAGAAAACTGAGGTCATTGTCTTTGGTCCTTCTAACCATTATGTTTTCTAGGCCCCTTAGAAAACTACAAAAGACCATTTGCAAGAAATTTTGGGGTGATTTTTGACAGCAATTTAACCTTTAATAAACAGATAAATAATGTAGTCAAAACCAGCTTCTTTCATCTTCACCTAATTGCAAAGTTAAACACTTTCTCTGTTTCAGAGATTTTGAGAAAGCGATCCATGCCTTCATCTCACCTCAACTTCTGTAATAGCCTCTACTTTGGTGTTACCTCT